CACTTAGAATGGACTTCAATGTGTCTTGAATTTCTGACTCAGAAGAGGCTTTTATCTCTGCTGTTGGGTTGCCTACAACCCCCGGGAATTTTAATCCTGCCCAACGATCAACCCACAGTTTCATGAGGTCAGACTTACATAAATTTCCTTATTACTTCCTTTTTTGCTTACCCACTTTCTCTTCTTTTGGTGGCCTCAGAAAGAAAGATATAGTTAAGATTATACTGGCTAAGATATTCCTTATCGTGATCTAACATTTGCATCAAAGACTCAGTGGGAGAACTAAAACGAGGTACATAGTATTTCCTTCAATTGAGTGTAGGAGTTCTGAGGAACATATCATGGCCTTTTTATGATGGTGGCAATTGATTTTCTTCAGTCATTAATGATCACCTCTTAGATTTCTCATGGATAGAAGTATTTTAATGCTGGCGTGCCTTCGTGGTTAAATAAAATTATACAGTAATAATTCACTGAAAACTGCATAGTTTCTTCCTTTGAAGTTTGGATATGAATAGTAAATTTTTTAAAAAGCAATCAAGAAATATGTTGCAGACCAATGCTTGGTAGGTTAACCATAAAAGCTTTGAAAAAAGGTATTCAAATGTTTTGATGTATCTGTAGCTTCAAAGATCAGAATTCTGTAAGCTGTGTCAGCTCTCTGAAGTAGACCAGAAAACTGACTTCACAGGAAGACTGGAGCTATATTTTTTTGAAATAGGCTACCTTTGTAGAATTTTGTAAGTATCACCACTACATAGATTCACCACCAATGGACTGCAGATTTCAATCTACTTTATGACAATTATTTTATAGACTCTTGGCATGATGCCATTGTCTAAGTTCCATGTTCAGATGGACTCAGGAGCTATTCTAGTAGTATAAATGGAAAAGTAGAGAAAGACGTTATTTGGTGATCTGTAAAGCCCTACACCCACATGAATTAATTTTTAAAGACAAATGTAGAAAAATTGGAGGAAGTGTTATATCTATTATCTGATCCTGTCACAGAATGCTACTTGGCATTTTTCATAATTACCACCTGTACTGATTAGTGTCCTGGGATTGAATTCAAAGGATGCACAACAGATAAATATTTTAATAATACTATATTTAGATACTAAAATCAAAAAGCCCACATGCCTATTTCCCCCCTCTGCCCAATCAGTGATAAAATATAAATCCAGATGTTCTGTTGTATGGAACTTCTGGTTCATTCTGGTGCCAGGTAAATGAGCCCAGGATGCCTGCTTAAAGTGGAAGTAGAATATATTTGACAGCAAAACAATAAAAGAGTTCGATTCTCAAAAGTGACCGGGTTTAAAAAGTTTTGGAAATATTTATACAGAGATCTAAGGCTTTGTTAGTACAGTGGACATAATTTGCCTTGAGGGTTTGCACTGAGTCTATATATTTTGTATATGTTGGTGTCAGCCATGAGAGTCTTTAATGTGCGTATAAAGGATTTTAATGTTTTGAAGAGCTTTTTAAGGGTGCGATTTGTGTTGCTGGTATTGGTTTATTTCCTAAGATAAGACATGTTTAATTAATTTCAGCCCAAGTGTCAATAAAAGGAAAAGGTTTAAACTGTGCTTTTGTATTTCTGTCTAGGGTTTATTGAAGGTCAGCTGGAATCGATGTGTGGTCTGTCTAGCAAGAAAGTCAGGATGTTTTTACCTTTTCACAGTAGCTTTCTGACTGCATCTAAGATAACTTCCCCAATCAGAAACTGCTTCCTTCAGGTGTTTGAGGCGGTCCAGCTATAGGCCAAACCTGGTGTAGGGACCCCAGAGAATCACTGCTAGCAATGTTGAGACTGTAGAAAGAGTGCAGAGAAGAACAACAAAGAGGATTAAGGGACTGGAGGCTAAAACATATAAAGAATGGCTGCTGGAATTGGGTATGTCTAGTTTGATGAAAAGAAGGACTAGGGGAGACATGAGAGCAGTGTTTGGATATTTCAGAGGTTGCCACAAAGAAGAGGGAGTCAAGCTATTCTCCAAAGCACCTGAGGGCAGGACAAGAAGCAACGGATGGAAACTAATCAAGGAGGGAAGCAACCTGGAACTGAAAATACATTTCCGGACACTGAGAACAATTAATCAGTGGAATGGCTTACCTCCAGAGGTTGTGAATGCTCCAACACTGGAAGTTTTTAAGAAGAGATTGGATAACTATTTGTCTGAAGTGGTGGAGGTTTTCCTGCCTAGGCAGGTGGTTGGACTAGAAGACCTCTGAGGTCCCTTCCAATTCTTCTATTCTATTCTATTCTATTCTATTCTATTCTATTCGTTTCGTTTCGTTTCGTTTCGTTTCGTTTCGTTTCGTTTCGTTTCGTCTTGCAGGCATAGGCAGTTGGCATGTCAGATACAAATCTGGGAATTCAATTTAACAGAATTGCAAGGGACCTTGGAGGTCTTCTAGTCCAACCCGCTGCTCAAGCAGGAGACCCTCTATCATTTTAGACAAATGACTGTCTACAACTCCCAAAGGCCAGCCGTTCCACTGGTTGATTGTTCTTACTGTCAGGAAATTTCTCCTTGGTTCTAGGTTGCTTCTCTCCTGACTTGGTTTCCATCCATTGCTTCATGTGCTTTGCCTTCTGGTGGAGAATAGGTTGACCACCCTCTTCCTGGTGGCAGCTCCTGAAATCTGGCTAGTGATAGGTTGATCAAATCAGGAAAAGAAAAAGAATCGCACCTGTTTTCAGTGCTATAAAGATTGAAAGAAAGATTTCGAAGAAAGCAAGAGGGTGAAAGGGCTCCTTGTCAATGGAATGCATAGGAGACTGAAATGTCGGGTGCAAAGAGCCAGAAGAACTCTGTGAATAGGCCAAAGCAGTTCCTTTATTGTTGACCATCTAAGTTACAAGAATCTCGTCAGATTGGCTGCATTCCCTTGGGGACCGATAGATAAAAGCTTCACTAGTGCTCCATCCCACAGAACATCTCCATGCTGGAATGCCTCTTTACTCCCTCTCCCCTTTAGCCAAGGATTCTAACTCAGTGACCTTGAGGAAAGGGGAGAAGGGATACTGCCTAAGTAACAATTGGAAAAGAGGAGTAGGAGCCCAAAGTTGCTTAATGGTCAGAGAAAGAATCCAAGGAAGGACCTGCCCTAAGGCACAAAGTGACAATCATATGCTTCAGATTGTTTGCCCAGTGTGTGTTGCAATCTTCTCCAGCTTTCTCTTCTCTGTTCAAATTATGTTGCGTTAGGGTTGGATTTCTCAGAATTCACATTTGGAGCATGCCAGATTTGGGGGGTGCTGTTGGAACTGGTGGGTGGAAGTGGGGTAAAAGAGGTGATGAGAATGATGGCGACTTTCATTTAGAGCAGAAGCCTTCAAACTTGGCAACTCTTTAAGACTTGTGGGCTTCAACTCCCAGAATTCATCAGCTAGGCATTTTTGCCTGGGCCATGCAGTTGTCGTGGGAATCATTGCAGGCGTTTGTCTTCAGTTCCTTTGTGTTTTGGTGTTAATAGTTCTATGTTGTCAAAACATATTCTCTGGCTTAAAAAAGGATTTTCGTATGAAAATAATACTCAATTACTATTTTTGAAATTTATTCCAACCCTCATATATATTGCAGATGTGCTGTCCAGAATGAAACAGCAGATGTGTAAATGAGGAGTGTATGAATAAAAGATGGAGGAAATGAGATCGTTGATACATGGATTGTGAATAGTCTGCTTTCTGCCCATAGATGTCATTCATTTTACACTAAACCTGCCAGCACATTCAGATGTCTTAATCCTGAATGCTTGTGAATGGGACTTGTACTCCCCCATGTGTGAAAATCCCAGGCTGAAGAAAGATGAAGATAGGTTTACCAACAGATTTGACCCATATATTGCAGACAACCATGGCTGATTTAACCAAAAAAATGATTGAATACATAACTGATTGGGTTTCTATCAAATGGCTCCGAGGTTCCTTAAGACTTGCCAGATTTTATATCGGTTATGCAAAGCAATAGAACAAATTTTGAGAAGTTATATCTGATCAGAGAGCTATTGAACAAACTGGTAACAACTACTATGCTTTCTTTACAACAGTGGCCCCCAGTCTTTTGGGCACCAAGGACCAGTTTGGTGGAGAGAGGTTTTTCTGTGGACCAGAGGGAATGTGGTTTCGTGTGCTGCCTGCATCCCATGAATGGGGCTTCACTTGTGTGTAAGGCCTAATTTCTGGCATGCCATGGACCAGAGTCGGTCCACAGACTAGGGTTGGGGACCTCTGCTTTACAGGTAGTACCCAAATTACAGTGCTTCATTTAGCAACTATTAGAAGTTACAATAGCACCAGTGGTGGGATTCAAATTTTTTTAAACTACTGGTTCTGTGGGCATGGCTTGGTGGGCATGGAATGGAAAGGATACTGCAAAATCCCCATTCTCTCCGCATCCCACTAACTTGATTTCCAGCTCTGTTCTCCTGTGCAAGGCAACAAAAGAAGACCCAGCCAATCAGCTGGGACTCAGGAGGCACAGAATAGATGGGGGCGGGGCCTGTCAGAAGTGGTATTTGCCGGTTCTCCAGACTACTCAAAATTTCCGCTACCAGTTCTCCAGAAACTGGTCAGAACCTGCTGAATACCACCTCTGAATAGCACTGAATAAAGTGACTCCTGAGTGGTCCTTACACCTATGATCATTGCAAGATCCCCATAGTCACAAGATCAAAATTTGAGCGCTTGGCAACCAGCATCTATTTACAATAGTTGCCACTGTCCAAGCATTATGTGATTGCCCATTTGTGTTCTTTCCAACCAGCTGGCCATGTTATTCACGTCACTTAATAGCTGCAATGATTTGTTTAACCAAAAAGAGTCATAAAATTAAGGTGTGTGCTTAGCAAAGGTCTCAATTGTGGTTATAAGTCCAGGGCTACCTGTATTGTCCTGATAACTTCAAAAGCACCCTCTTCAGCCTCTAGAGGTCGCACATACGACTAACCCAAGAGCCCATCAAGACAACTACACAAGGTATAAAGTTTTGTCACTTTATTTAACTCACAACTGTCAACAAAATATACACTGCAATATTAAACATTTCAGAAGTACAGCATTGTAAGATACACAAAAATCAGTGGGAATGTAAAACTAGATTTTTTTCCCCAAGCGTTTTTCTCTCTCCTTCAGAGCAAGCTACTGTGAGACAGAGCAGGACTGCACCGAGTAGGGCACTGATATTCTCTAATCATCATGACTACGGTTATTGTTCATTTAAACACTATTATCCTAAGCATGTTTATCTGGAGGAAATTCTACTGAAGATCTGTCAGATCGACTCCCAAATAAGCATGAGCAGGACTGGGAAGCATGTTTACATTTGTTGCTAGTTACAAATTGCTACAGCCTGAAATCCGAATTATGTATATATAATTGGGAGCAAATATTCAAGTCAAAGTTGCGTTGCCCTTCTCTCTCTCTTTCTCTCTCTCTCTCTTTTTTGTTTTTTTGCAACTCAGCGAAACAAAAACACCGGTGATGGAGTTGGGCTTGGATCTTAGTTGGGCCCTTACATGCAAAAAGTTTGGAGAGCTCCCTCAGATAAGTATTGCCTCTCTTACTCTACCCTTTTAGAGGATGACCTCATTGTCCTCAACGCTATCGTGATGTTCAACACTGTGCTGGTCCTCGGCGCTTTGGTGATTCTCGGCACTTTCCAAAGTTTGGTTGCTGACGTCATCAGGATTGCTGTCTAACTGTTGGGGTTCCTCACTGTGATCTTTTTCCTGCTCTCTGCTTTCAGTGCTTTCTAGGGAAACTTTGCTGTGGTCGCTGTTGTCCTCCACACTCTCAGGTTTCTCTGGGCTGTTGTCCTCTAGACTTATGTCACGAAATGCACTGTGGACTTCATTGCTCAGGCTACTTTTGTCGTCTCTTTCATGGCTTTCCAGAGAAAGGGCCTTGGAAGATTCATGGCTCTCGTCATCTGGGGTGCTGTCCACTTCATCAGAAACATCTTGGGAATCAAACTGAAAAAGTCCACAAGAGAAACCGTCAAAGGTCACTCCGCTCTCATGAGAAATATCTACAAGACCGACATATAAGATTTGCAAGGATTTTCCTTTCCAACACAAAGCTGGAGGGTGGCATTTTCAGAAGCTCTAACCCAGGGCCCTTTTATGACTTGTGGACTTCAACTCCCAGAATTCCTGAGCTAGCATGGAATTATTAGTTCCATAGGAGTTATTTTAGTTATTTGTATCCTGCCTTTATTATTTTAAAAATAACTCAAGGTGGCAAACATATCCAGTACATCTTCCTCCTTGTATTTTCCCCACAACAGCAGCTCTGTTAGATTGGGCTCTGCTAGGTTGGGCTGAGAAAAAGTGACTTTCATGGTTAAGGCAGAACTAGAACTCACAGTCTCTAGTTTTCTAGCCTGGTGCTAGTGGAGGTATACTACCGGTTCGGCCCGGTTCAGCCAAACTGGTAGTAAAAGAAGCTGAGGATCAGCTAAGAGGAGGAAAAAAAATCCTCCACAATCAGCTGAGAGGAAAAAGAAGAGAAAAGCGCAGGATCGGCCCTCCAACCCGCCCCTGTGCTTTTCTCTTCTTTATCCTCTCAGCTGATTGGCGCTGCAGACCCCAGCTGGTGTGGAGCACCGGCGCTAGGCAAAGCACACCCACCAAGCCACGCCACCAAACCACGCCCACTGAACCAGTGGTAAAACAATTTGAATCCCACCACTGCCTGGTGCCTTAACCATTAGACCAAACTAGCTCTGGTACCCCACTTTTCTTCAAAAAATATCCATGGTGTGTTACAAATAAAGTGCAAAATAAATGATAAAGTACAAAGAAGACTTAAATAATATACTGCCTCAGATATATGCAGTATGAATTTCAACAACCTGTACTATTATTATTATTATTATTATTATTATTATTATTATTATTATTATTATTTTGTTGTATCTTTTGTGACAATGCTTTTGTGTTTTCATGAGCTGAAGCTAAGTTTTCTTCATATGAGAAGTGATTAATAAATTGGTTACTCTGGTCCTTTTATACCAGCGGCAGTTCCCATGTTTCTCTAAAAGAGTGACATTGGTGTGAAACAAGGTAGCAAAACAATTCCACAAACTATTTTATGGCCACAACATTTAGTCTACAACTAAAAAAAACCAGAAAACGTACTCCAAAAAATGTTAATAAAAATATCTTAAGTATCTGGAATGGGGATGTTAAAAAAATGAAAGTAAAGCATGTTTATGTCAACTAATTATTAAAGCAAGGAAACTTTGTTGTTTCTTGTTTCTTCAACCCCAGACTTTGCAATTTTTATTTTGTAGGATTTTTATAACATAAGTGTAGCAGGTTTTTCTAAGCTTAATTTGCTCAAAATATGCTTCCTCCTGCTAGTTCTCATATACAATATAATATTTATTACAGGTGGTACCTTCACAGCAACCACAAACAGTGTTGTCCACATTATGTAACATTTGAATAGCCAGCTATCAAAAACTGGTGTGACAAATGGTGTTTGCCAATCACTACAAGATGGTTAAGGAAGATGAATTGGAGGAGGAATTGGCATGATTAAAGTGAAACAACCACCTCAGACATTATTTTCCGTGATTAACCAGAGCTACCAAACAATGGCAGACACAAATAAAAAAAACCTCCTGGCAAAAATATCGTGTGTCTGAATGGCAACATAATAGATGGACGGTGTAGTTCTAAATAGGATTCTTGTCTTGTTCATTGAAGTCCAATGTTTAAATCACTTGATTTAAAGCAGAGGCAGCTAAAAGTGCTTCTCATAGACTTGCTATTGGGCCATCCCAAGTTCCCCCTCCACTTATGTGAGTGCAAGCAATAAAAGAAAGCCATCAACTGGCGTTTACCTTTCCAGACCTCTCCAAACTCATCTGGTCAATTTCTGCCCTGAACTTATAAGATGGGACGTCTCCTCTGTTGGAATCAGTGGTAGGAGCTGGGGTGGGAATGTCAGTGAAGGTTTCATGAGACTCATCGGATTCATCTGAATCTGGTTGATCGTCATCTTTGGAAACATCGCTATGATCATCATCGTCTTCATGACTTTTGCTGGAAGAGGCCAAAAGGGTCTGCAAGGAAATCAATGCAACTTGGTTATACCACATGCACAAGGACATACTTTGTTTTAGGTTTGGACGTATCTTGTGAAGATGCTACATAAACTCAAGAAATTGAAACTGGGCAGTGTTGTGGTTCGCCGGCAGCCGGTGCAGACAGCAGCGGAATCGGACAGTGGGGAAGAATGGGGACTTGTCAGGGAGTCTGGAGAGGACTCAGATGAGGGTCCTGTATCCGATGCAGAGATAGAGCCAGGACTATCTGGGAATGGGGTGCTGCCTCTGGAGCCTTTGGAGCCTGGCAGCAGTAAGGCAGAGGACCCAGGGGAGCCTGTTCCCAGTGCACGTGTGCGCAGAGCTGCTAGAAGGCAAGAGCCACTGAAACAAAAGGAGTGACTCGGGAGTAAGGCTGGGAGGTGATTGCCCCTCCCATAAGGTATAAAGGTCAGGCCAAGATGACAAAACCTTTGCGGGAAGCAAAGTAGTTTGGTCTGTAGTTTGGCTTCTTGAAGCTCTTTGTACTTTGGTTGGGGTTTTTTGTACTACGGTTTCTTTTCTAGTTCATTTGATACTTCTGTTTTTGGCAGCACTTCACAGAACTGAAAGGTGTGTGCTTATCTCGGGGCACTGTTTGAGATTTATTTTAGCTGGGAATGAAAACAATTCCCAATAAACTAAGTCTTTTGTTTTTAAAATAAGTGTGTGCGTAGTCTGGGTCGGAACAGGGAGCTAGTTTTCAGTGCCAAACATCAGGATGAAAACCTCGGAAACTGAGGGTAATACCCCAAAGCAAATGCAGAATTTCTTTTGTTCACTAGTTGGCAGTAACAAGAATCTGATGACTATACTCTCAAGGCTTAAGGTTTAGATAAATGAAATAATCTGAAGGTGCATGGTGGCTCACATGATCAGGACACTGGACTGATAAGCAGTAAACCCATGTTTGAGATCTGATACTGCCATGGGACAGGGTGAGCTCCCATCCTTGGCTCCAGCTCCTACTGGGACATGAAAGGAGCCTCCAACTGGGTGTCCCCTGGGCAATGGTGATATCATCGGCTAATCTTTTCAACCTGGAAGTGCCTTGGTGGTCCCGGCATGAGTGTGATGCAATTTGCAAGCTTTCTAAAGGATCTCTATTTGGATTGTCATACTGAATCGAGAGAACATGGACAGGATACAGTCCTCGAAATAGTTTTGTACAGCCCTAACACAAACCCTATGACAGCACACTGAAATAATTGCCTTAGTTACCTTTGGGGTGTTTTGTGGGGGGCATTGTGCATTGGTTTTGGTTTCAAAATTCAAACCTTTAATAGTTTAGGATATCCTAAGCTAGTGGTGGCTAACCTTTTTGGGCTCCTGTGCCAAAAATTGTGCGTGCGCTGGCGCGCTTGCACAATTCCCCCCTGCTACAGCCCCTGCCTCCTGGTATTACAGGAAGTGATGAAACAGGCCTATTATTCATCCTGCAAAGCCTGTAGAGGCTTTTTTCAAGCCTTTGGGAGGCCGAAAAAGGCCTCAAGCAAGCTGAAAATCAGCTGTGAGGTGGGCGCATGCGCATTGAGGTAAGTTTGTCTGCGGCTCGCATGCCGGCACAAATGGCTCTGCATGCCACCTGTGGCATGCATGCCATAGGTTTGCCATCATGATCCTAAGCTATTAAAAGATTTGAATTTTGAAACCAAACCCAATGCACAATATCTATCCTATCCTATCCTATCCTATCCTACCCTACCCTATCCTATCCATTTATCTATCTCTATCTCTATCTATCTATAAATTTGACTTACTATGAATTTGTTTGCCTGTTATTAAAATCCATGTATGACACTCATCTAAAGACATTGCTGCTCAGTGATACATTCAGGTGTTACTTTTTACAATGCAGATGAAATCTATGGAACTTCCTTTTTTTTTTTTTTGCACAACTATTAAAGATGAATGAGTTTTGCTTCCTGTTGGACTGGAACGAAAGGAAGCTACAAATACACTCAAGTTGGTTGTCACAACAGGGTGATTAACGCTTGGCCTGTTTTTTGTTTTTGTTTATTTGCATATAAATACCAGTGAATATAAACTGACCTGTTGCTCAGTGATCTCATCACGATCTTCCAAAGACTGAGAGTCCTGAAAATGAAATAAAAGTGCTATTAAAAACGAGCAGTGGATCTGGGACAGATAACATAAAAAGAAAACCTGCCCAATGAAAGCTTATAGAATTCATTACTACAGGTAGTCCTGGACTTGCCACAGTTCATTTAGTGACCATTTTCAAGTTACAACAGCACTGAAAAAAGTGACTTGTGACCATTTTTCACACTTATGACCATTGCCGCATCCTCATGATCACGTGATAAAAATCCAGGTGCTTAGCAATGTACTCATATTTATGATGATTGCAGTGTACCAGGGTCCCCTTTCGTGACCTTCCGACAAGCAAAGTCAGTGGGGAAGCCAGATTCACTTAACAACCATCTTACTAACAACTGCAATGATACCCTTAACAATTGTGACAAGAAAGGTCATAAAATGGGGCAGAACTCACTCAACGTCCTGCTTAGTAACAAACAAATTTTGGGCTCAGTTGTGGTCGTACATCAAGGACTACCTTGTATATAGCTGGAGAAAATATCCATTTATGAACAGTAGGTATATTAACAACCATTAATCACGGTTAATGATTAGCTTTGGTAGCAATATAATTGTGAACATGTTGTGGTGGAGAAACGGAGAAGGAAGGGTATTCTGCTAAAGCTCAGCTGGTGGATTTCCCAGAAGCAACTGGCTGACAACTAGTGGAGATGCTGAATCATTTGGATCCAGTTGAGGCTTTCCTAGGATTCCCTTTTTATTCAAGGTATAATAGGATTTAGGACCTGGGCTGAATGGAATGGAAATGAGTAGTGTGGTGGCCTAGAGGTGGAGCTCTCGCCTCACAATCAGGAGGCTGTGAGTTCAATCCTAGATAGAGGCAGATATTTCTTTCTTTGGGCATATATCTGCTGAACAAAACTCTGCATTGGTGACAGGAAGGGCATCTGGCCATTAAAACACTCTGCTAGCTCCATTCAGTTGCCCAGACTCCATCCCACAAGGGATTATGAGGTCATTAAATGACAATGATGGAATTCCATTCCAATGGAATGGAAATAGGGCTGGTGGGAGGTATGGAGAATGATGGATAGGGAAAGAAGTTAAATCGACTAATGGGTAAAATGTCTAAATCTCATCAGGCCTAGTTTGACCATGACTAGGCCCAACTGACAGCTAATTTGTGTCCCATTTTCGCTCGGTCCTCCCACCACAACATTTCTTTGTACTTTGTATATTTCCGGGAAGGAGAGGATTTTTCTCACTCTAGTGCCGTGATGGTAAACTTATGGCACATGTGCCACATATGCTACGCAGAGTCATTTGTGCGGGCATGTGAGCCCCAGCCAAACTCAATTGCACTGTGCATGCGCGCAGCTCTCAGCTGATTTTTGGTCTGTTTGAGGCCATTTTCACCCTCCCAGAGGCTCGAGGGAAGCCTCTGCAGCCTCAGGAGGCCGAAAAACAGGTCTTCTGGAAATACTGCAAGTGCCAAAACAGGCCTGTTTTTTGGCCTCCCGAGGCTGCAGAGGCTTCCCTTGAGCCTCCGGAAGGGCAAAAATGGCCTCAAATGGGCCAAAAATTAGCTGGGAGGTGCATGCATGTGCAGTGCAGGCAAGGGGGCAGGGTGGCGGTATTGCGTGCACATGCACAAGGGGGCGCGTGGCGCATTGCATTGTGGATGCACTTCCGGCATGCATGCACTTTCGGCACACCACAACAAAAAGGTTTGCCATCACTGCTCTAGAGCTTTCCAAGTGTATTGGACTTGCAGCTCCATAATCCCCAGATAGCACCATCTCAAACCATGCCATCTGGGTTTATAGGCACCTCCAGAAGCTGCCAGGTTGAGGAAAGCTCCTAACAATTCATCAGAGAAGATGAGCTGCATACCAGTTGAGAAGATGTATGTTCTGGAGACTCTTGACTGTGTTCATGGCTATTTCCATGCTCTTGACTGTGTTCAT